AGTTTTATACAAATTAATAAAAATATAATGATAAAACAAATGTAATTGCGATGTTTGAAAGTAGCGTTTAGAATAAAAAATGAAATGATATTACCCCCAGGTCCGAAATATATTTCCACTTTATATAAATGACTAAAGCATACCTATTCCGGAAGAAACATAATTTTTTTAAAATAATTCCAACATATATGGTCTTATCAGTACTACCCCATCAATCCTCAAGAAGTTAGAAAAAACCAACAATAAGTATATTTTAAGTCATTATAGATTCATGTTAAGTGTAACAATCATTATTGCTTTAAATCCTGAACAACACACTTTGTTAATGGCTGTGCAAAAAACAGAATTAGAAATCCTATCAGCTAATCCTGAACAGCACCTATTCAGAAAATACACATGGAGCTTACTAATAATACAAAGCTGAATAAAGGAATCACAGCTTGACATGTTATATGAATTCAATTAGTAGCCTCATTAACATGGAAAGCATTCTTTGATAAAGTTCTCATAGTAGTGTGAGGATTTCTTTACCACACACAACACACATTCATAAGAGCTAGTATGTTTGCTAGTTCATCAACTTGCTTAATTTCCAAATGAAAAATCACTTCTATAAAAACGGCTTCCAAATGATCTATACATGAACTTCTTAATTTCCTGTAACATCAACTTGCTTAAATTTCTTGGGATGCGTTATTGTTGGGCACAATTCCTAATAAGAAGAAAATAAATATAAATAAATGAGTAGGGTCGTAGGGAGGCTAACCTGTGAAGCAAATTAATCATGGTAGATGCTAAAATGAAGTTTAAGGAACATAAAGTTTGGTTTTTTCAGGAAAGGTAGTGAATTTGATTTGACAAAAAACTAATAGAATTGAAGCAATAACACCATATGGCATACTAAACCTAATGCTAAAGTTAAGTTTAAAGAACATAAAGTTTGGTTTTTTCAGGAAAGGTAGTGAATTTGATTTGACAAAAAACTAATAGAATTGAAGCAATAACAACATATGGCATGCTAAGATATATTGGAGGCATGTGATAAAAGAACATATGGCATTCTAAGACTCCCAAAGATCCTCAAGGTAAAAGAATGAATTTGCCCCGGCTTCAAGAGTTCTGTTTCCTCTTACTATTTTGCCTGTTCACTCGAGAAATGACTTCATATAAAAAACCAAGTTCGCAGAAAATACTAATGACATCAGTATCAGAACTCATTCTGGTAATCTATCATTTCCAACTTATACCAAGTAGAAGCATTTGCAAAGTAGTGTAAAAAAAGAGCACTTAGTGGTAATAGTTAAACATAGAGAACTCTCAGAAAAGTAAAATAAATCAGCAGTCTATTTTCTTGCAGTAAATAAAGAGCAATTGAAGTCAGTAGTAAAAGCAGCAGGAATTAGCACGAATTACATATTGTTGGAATGAATGAAATCTCAGGATTTATACCTCAGATAGTTGCTGAGCTTGCACGAACAGAGTAACCGATTCCATCAAACAATCCAAGTCGGTGACGTTCTTAGGCGGCGCAGGAGAAGACGAGCGGACAGGCGACGTTTTGGAGTAAACGGTGATCGAATCATCGGAATCAGTCTGAATTCGTTGGATGTTAAGAGCTCCAATTGAAAGTCCAACTTCAGCGAGAAGCCTAGTGATGAAGGTCCGTGCTAGAGCCCTAATTTCCCCAAATTCGAAAGAATAAGCCAGTGTAATTTGGGAGAACAGAAAAGGTAGCCGTATTTAGGCAAATATCCCTAATGACGAGCGGGAAACGTACTTAAGTGGATTAATATATATAGATAACTTTTGGAATATTATTTTATGTGATAAGGAATATCGTTCAAGTATTACGTAAGGTAGCTTGGAATATCATTCCATACACTCAGGCTCGCTCAGGATGATCTAAAAGTGTATGAGAAAATGCCTGAAGTTAAAAGGCCATTTAATTTGTGGACAAGAGTTTTGAAATATTTTATTATCTCTACAGTAAAGATAATAAAACTGATGGCTTTTAAGGACATTTTAAAACTTGACTTTGATTTGAACTACCGAAACTATTGTTAATAGCTTGATCAAGAGTTGTTGAGATCATTAAAAGTTGTGATCATGAAACAGCCCGTTACTTCCATTTTGCATGCGTCGTTTATATTGTTGTTCTTATTCCAGAACAATAGTGCGCTGCACAATCTCTCTAAGACCATACATACAAATCATAAAGAAAAGAGAAAAGGTGCAAATAGGCCCATGTACTAACAAAAAAAGTCAAATAAGTCCTTATTTAGGAGGTTTTGTCCGGCCGTCGCCATTTGGGATGGTTTCCGGTGAAATTTTTTGATGAAAATTTTTTAGCATCTTATTCATCAAGTCTAGTTTACTCATACCAAATTTCAGCTAAAACTTCAATCGGGAAGGCATTCAAATGAATTCTTGAAAATAATTGCGCAGTTAGAAGCGCAGTTATCTTCAAGAATTAATTTGAATGCCTTCCCGATTGAGGTTTTAGCTGAAATTTGGTATGAGTAAACTAGACTTGATGAATAAGATGCTAAAAAAATTTCATCAAAAAATTCTACCGGAAACCACTCCAAATGACGACGACCGGACAGAACCTCCTAAATAAGGGCTTATTTGACCCTTTTTTATTAGACATGGGCCTGTTGTCACATTTTCCCTAAAGAAAAACGCTAGAGGAAGAAAACACTCGCTCCATTTTTTCTCTACTCATTTTGCTTCTCCAAGTGTTGATTGGTTTTGAGTGAATGAAAACCAAAGTTCTATGGGTAGTTTTTATTCTTTCATTTCAAGCACATTTCTTTTAAGACAATTTGGACAACGGTAGGAGGTTTAAGTCAAGTAGTTTCAAGTCTAAAAAAATTGGCAGAATGACTTTTGTTCAAGGTGGTAAAAAAATTCTGCAAAGCAATCAAATCAAATTGAGAAAGTCTTCATTTCCTAAAAAAAAAAATTACTTTTGTTCCTAAATTACAAATGAGGTCTTTATTCTCTAATCTTTAATGAGAGGAGAGAATGACTTTTGTTCAAGGTGGTAAAAAAATTCTGCCTTATTCCACTTCGGCAGTTCCCCTATAAGGGCTATCAAAATTGCTATGGGTACCCCAACTATACCCCATTTCATACCCCATATAAAAGTCATTCCAAAAATTTACCCCTCTTTCCATTCTATTCTCTCTCCCTCACGTTGTCCTCCCCCTCACCAAATATCCCCCAACCTTTTCCCTTCCCCAGGCACTTTCGAAAACCACTCCCCCTCCCCACCGTCGAAGTTTGCCCCCTCCCAACTCGTCCCCCACAACCGGCGGCCTCACCCCAACAACCGGCGGCCTCACCCCCACAACCGGCGGCCTCACCTCAAATCGAACGAGTTCGGAAACCCAAGGAAGGAACCACCGTCGTGCACTGTTCACCACCGTCAAACGAACCGCCCTCGTGAAGGTTTTAAGGTCCATTGTTCAAGCTTAACACATATGGCTGAAAGGTATGTAATTTTTTCATTTTTTTTGGATTTTTTGAATTGATATTATCTTGGTGTGTAAATTTTGTGTTGTTTGTCATTGTGTTTGTCTGAACACTTTGAACTTGTCTGTGCATGGTTGTTTGGTTGTGTGTGTCACTGCATTTTGAATTCTTGAAAGTTGTCTGGGATGTCATTAGAGTTGTCTGGCCAGGCGTATGAGATGTCTGTCATTTGAAATGAATTGTCTTGCAAGCCATTTGTAGTTGTTTATCATGTGAACATAGTTGTCTGGAAAATTATTGTGTAGTTGTCTGTTAGGTGAACATATATAGTTGTCGGGAAAGCTTCCATAGTTGAAAGTATGAACACCCTCAGAGTCTGGCAAGTTTAGTTAATGAGATGTTTTAAATGTAAATTTTGTTAGCTATGAATGCTTTATAATCTATGACCTTTGAATGTAATTTTTGAGTTATGAATGGTTTAAAAACTAAGTAATGTGTCAAACTGTCAAAGCATACCCTTTGGTATGATTTCAGCTTTCTGAAATATGAAACTTGGTTTATAAGGTTTCTGGTTTTAAGTATGAACTCCAAGTGTAAAATATCATTCTTACCAGATAACCTTCTTTTACTCATCAGTTTTTCTTGCATTAATGTCTAACAAATTTAAACATTAATTTGTTCAACCGTATAACCTTGTTACGAAATATTCAACACAAATTTAAACATTAATATGTTCAACTATATAACCTTCTTACTAAGGACAGACATAATTTTCTGGCAAACCATTAAAATTGTCTGGCTCCTCATTTTGACATAGACTTGTTGTGCATGTGATTTGAAATTGCTTATATTGTTGTGGACGTTGTCTGTCCTATGAACATACTTGTCTGTCAAGTGATATAAAATGTCTGTCCTTCCTTCTGAGTTGTCTGAAATGTTTGATTTTTATTTGTGTTAATTAAACAGGTCATTCGAAGTACAAATTCCATTTCGCAAGCACTTTCCAGCCCAGTTATCTATGTGCTCATATTTCAGAGAGGCTGTAAGCTTGGTCAAAGCTGCGCTGACAAAGGATCAATTAGAAGAATTTAAGAAATTGACACGGGCCACCTAGTATCCGTGCCAGACATGCAATTTTCTGGCCAAATCATCCATTCATTTTGAATAGAGACAATGCGCCAGATAACACCACAATACTTAGCCCCTATCTTGTGGTACGTATAAGATTACATAGGTGTAATTTGCAGTATGAATAGGGTAAACCGTTGTACAACCGAATACCAACTAATACATAAAGCATTTTGTAGGAACAAATAATGAGGAAGTCCAAAGGCAATGTCAAAGATTGGGCTGCAAACAAACTTTTAACCAAACAAGATTGGCGATCATTGGAAAGGGTAAAATATAAATTGTTAACACAATGCTACAAATACTTTAAATGATTAATCCAATTTTATTTTTTGTGGCCAGGTTTTAATTCCTTTGAACATTGAAAACAAGCATTGGATTTTGGCTGAAGTTGTCATTGATAAGAAACGGGTTAGGGTTTATGACTCAATGAAGACGGCAAGAAGTGTATTTTATGTTAGGGAACTGTGTGAACGCCTGCCCTACCTCCATCGGGTGTTTACAATGTCACTGGAAGAGGGTGAAGCACAACCATGGGTTGCTGAGTTAGTTGAGGGTGTTCCCCAACAGGGTGGAGGGTATTACATTAAACTTTATTTACATTACATATATTGTCTGTCTGCATATGGTAAATGTCTGTCTTCTTTGTAATTGTCTGTCTACAGGTCAGGAGAGTGCGGAGTGATGATTGCAGCCTTTGCAGAGCATCTTTTAATGGGAAAGGACTTGCTTCCAGGTTGTGAGTATGCCAACATGTGGAACAAGAGATGCCAATATGCTGTTCGATTGTGGGGAGTGAAGAAGGTGGAGGAATCATAGGAATTCTTCATTAGCTTGGGAAGCCTATTTTTGTAGGTTAATAGTCCAGCTTTGCAAACACCATGAATTTCCCTGTACGATGTGTGTGGAACATTATGTTTTTTTTTTGTGTTTGTTGCAAACTATACAAAGGTGGCATTTGAGAAAAAGCGGTTACATGATCATAATTTCAGCAAATGCAATTAAGTTTTTGATGTTAATATGTCTGGCAGGGAATTCATTTTTGTCTGTCTCGGGATGTGAATATGTCTGGCAGGGTATTCATTTTTGTCTGTCTCGGTATGTGAATATGTCTGGCAGAGTATTCATTTTTTGTCTGTCTCGGAAGTTTGATGCATTCTTAACTACATACAAACTATTCACAAACGCCGTGTATGATTCATTCACAAACTATTCACATTTTTTGCCTTTCTCGGGATGTTTGATTCATTCATTTTTGTCTAGCAGAGTATACGCTGTAGAACCATAAACATATGTCTACACACAATGCCTCTAAATTCAAACAAATGACAACTACATTTGCATTCACACAAGCCAGAATCATATTCCACTATGAAGTAAACAGTCTTGTAAAAGTCCTCTGTTATTTTAACTTCTTCTTTGACATGATAAATTTTACCGCCATCCCATTGAATGATGTCACAATAAAGCTTGCCAACCACTTCATCTCGAAACTCCTTGAACTTCGCCATTGTGTATATTCCTTGCATTTGTTTCTCCATAGGAAATTTCGAAACACACGGTACCAATTTTGAAAATGACTCTGCGTCCGCTTGAAACTCTTTTTCAGCCTTAAATTTTAAGGCACAACCATATTGCTCCACGAATTGTTTTAGACTTGTTTTAGAGTGCACAAAAAGGTCGAAGAAAGCGTTGATGCTCTCACTTCGTTGAGTTGTGGACATACCTGCCCAGAATGAAGTTTTCAAGTAACAAGGTACCCACCTTTGGCGTTCTTCAAACATGACCTTAAGCCATTCATCATCTTGAAGTGAATACCTATAATGAATACACAACACATTAGTTACAACCAATACACAAGCATGATGTCCCAGACTACTAATGTCTGGCACAGACAAATTTTGTCTGTCAGTTTGATATACACAAGCATTATGTCCCAGACTACTAATGTCTGACACAGACAATTTTTGTCTGTCAGTTTGACATATAAGCATTATGTCCCAGATTACTAATGTCTAGCACAGACAAATTTTGTCTGTCAGTTTGACATACAAGCATTATTCCCAGACTACTAATGTCTGGCACAGACAAATTTTGTCTGTCAGTTTGACATGTAAGCATTATGTCCCAGACTACTAATGTTTATCACCTTTCCAAATGAGAATTCCAACCAACTTCAAAGTCATGCACTGCATCTTTACTTGGGAACTCCATGCCAACAAAGGGAACTTTATTACAAATCTCTTCTTCCTCTTCATCTGTTATTTAATCAAAGGATACATGTTCACTTAAACACACACTTAATATAATGCATCACTTTCAAACAGAATTACCATAATAGAACTATACATGTTCACTGCATCATTTTACTTAAAATACTTACTCAAGTAAAACAACACAAACGTGCAGTAGAATACATACATGCTTATACATAGTCATATACATTTTTTCCCATGCGAATACAGACATTTCCGCACGCAGACAAACATTTTAAGTTGTCTGGCCGCACCCACATTTTATGTACCACTCTACCAACTACGAAACCACGTTCAGTTGAAAGCAAGTATGAAACCACGTTGAGTTTAGGCTAGACAGACGCTGCAAATGCAAGTTGTCTGTCTAACCAACGAAATACCAAAAAATGAGGAAAAATCAACATACCCTTCTCCAAACAGTCCAAAGCTTCAACTTCCACACCTTCTTCAACTGCTTCCCTTGAAGTCGCATTCAGTTCAACACCCACCGGAGCTGAGAGATTACCACCGTCACCCACGGCGTCACCCACGTCATCTCCCCATGTCAAAACATTCAGTTGACCTTCTTCCCCACTCAACTCGTCCAAATGCACCTCAGTCCCCATGATATCCATCCAAGAAGATGGAGGAAGGTTTGTGGAAGTACTGTAGCAGCCTCGAACAAAGGAAGGGGGGGGGAGTGTTTTTGACGGAAAAGAAGAGAGTGGGTGGAGTAGGAGAGATGTGAGAGAAAAGGGGGTAAAAAGGATGGTAAAAAGGGGAGGTTTTATATGGGGTATGAAATGGGGTATAGTTGGGGTACCCATAGCAATTTTGGCCGCCGTGAAGCTCAGAAAGCGGATTCAGTATAGGTCACCGTGAAGCCCAACCAGGTATCCCCCAAGCTAGGAAATTTAAAACCAGTTTCAATATAAATTTAAGTTCTTATACGCTTTTTATGCATTTGGTAGAACTGATTTTTTATTCGTTTTCTGCATTTTGGTAAAAACGGGTTTGTTCATTGCTTGAAATTTCTGGAGTCCAACATGTTCTTATCATTCTACAATTTCTTGAACCAGATATCCATTTCTGTAAGTTCTGTTGTGCTAGTGAATAGTAGATTCTCCCATACATATACATGAACAATCTCTATGGAATAACAATTGAATGCATTTGTCTCCGCAGTTTGTAGACTTGCTTCATTATTCTTCTACTCAATAATAATCGTCAAGATTTCTTTCTATCTTTCTTTCTTTTACTCAAAGTTTTTTTAGCTTTTGTTTTTTTACTTTGTATTTCTAGGAATAGCAGCTAGGCGTAATTCCCTGTAAAAAAATATAGCCTGACTCGTAATTAGAGGCCTTCTGTAACTTACATGTTGAACATAATGTGGTTTCAGTGAATGTTGGGTTAATTTAATTAGTTCAAAATGTGGGATTTTTGATCATTAGTCTTCCCAATGAAAACTGTAAAGTTAAGAGCCCGTTTGGTGATCCCTTTTTCCGCTTATCAGGCTTATTAGACAGCTTTTTCACCAAACACGTAACTATTGATTTACTTTTCTGAATTTTGTAATAAGCAGAAAAAGTAAGGTTGGAGTTACTTTTCTGGTTGTATTGGATGAAGTTACTGTAGAAGATCATTTTAGCTATTTTTTCATATAATTTTTTAATTAATTTAGTAATAACAAATATTTTAGATTTTTTTTTTTCATGAATCAGCAAAATCAGCCAATACAGCCACTTCAGCCAGAAGTTCATAAATTTCAACAGAATCAGTTAGTTCAGCCAATTTTAGTGTTACCAAATGGGCTCTAAGACAGCGTTTATGACTTAGAAATGATGAATTGTCAAAGTACTATAGATATTTACTGTTTGCATATGAGAAGGGACATTTTTTGCTTCTTAGCATTTGCACTCTGTAGCAATACATTTAACAATATTTACGCTTCGAATTATGAAAGTAATTTTTGAATTAATAGTCAGTTCATCAAACCCCAAAGGTTAGCCTAATATAGGCCAAGGATCGGTTCACCTGCGATGGAACTTAGGCTACCAGCAAATATCCCTTGGATGGACTGACCATAAGAAAGAAATGTTATTAAAGAAAGAATAGGTGAAAGAAGTTGAGAGAGAGAGAGAGAGAGCAAAGTGGTTTCACCACCCCTGGCTTTACTACAGGTGAGGATGAATTTTAATAAGATAAAGTTTTGTTGTTGTGAACCACTACGTAGCCATCATCGCTGGTTGTTGATATTTATAGCTCTCTTCACAGTTTAAGGACACAACAAATTAAAACACTCACTACTAATGCAAATTATAACGCATTTTTCAGATACAGAAGCTAATCAAATGTTATCCAGCATTGCCAAGATTCAGCTTGTGAGTTCGCATCCTGAAGTATATGAACCGTGTGATGATTCATTTGCATTGGTGGATGCATTACTGACCGACGAGGCTAACTTGTCAGATCACCGACCCACATTTTGCATGGAAGTTGGATGTGGCAGTGGATACGTTATTACATCTCTAGCACTCATTCTACTACGATATGATGTATTAGCATCTAAGCCCCCCTCATATTATATTGCAACTGACATCAATCCTCATGCGGTGAGGGTGACTTGTGAGACTGCGGATGCCCATAATGTTGATGTTGAGTGTCTAAATACTGATATTGCATCAGGATTAGAAGCGCGTTTGGCTGGGTTAGTGGATGTTTTGGTTGTGAACCCACCTTATGTTCCCACCCCTGAAGAGGAAGTTGGTCGTGAAGGAATCACCTCTGCTTGGGCTGGAGGTGAAAATGGTGTAAGTGTCATCAATAAGATTTTGCCTGTTGCTGATAAGCTTCTTTCTGAGAGGGGCTGGCTGTATTTGCTCACACTTGCCGCTAATAACCCCTCAGGAATATGCCTTCAAATGAGAAAGAAGGGTTATGCATCAAGAGTCATTCTTAAGAGATCCACTGAAGAAGAGAGCCTTCATGTTATCAAATTCTGGCGGGATGCCTCTAACTAACTGCTCTATGGGGCGAAAGATTAGATTAATGATGAAAAATGGTCAAAGAATGAAATGTAAACAATGCATTGGTGAAGTTCAAATTCTCCAGAATATTGCTACCCAGGTGATGTCACAAGTCACGGCTGCAATGCATTCTCTAACTAGCAATGCTTTCAAGGTGTGTAGATGTGTGTTTTGTTTAGACACTCACAGAGAAGTGTGGTGTGTGTAAAGCACTATCTATTCGGATTCTTTTGATGCTATGCAGGCTTGGTTTGTAATCAAAGTCCTAGTTAGCTTTTTTCCGTTTTAAACGCGTTTTAAACACGTACCGTTTTTTTGACCAAAAAAACACGTTTAAAAGGGGGGAAAATGTTGGTCCGTTTAAAAAGGAAAAAAACTTCTACTTCCCGTATAAAACGTATTTTTCCCGTATTTTACAAAAAACATAAACATGAATTGACCAATTGAATGAATGCACTAAATGCATAGAAGATCAACAATAGTGTAAAAGTAAAAATGAAAACGTCCACCCAAACAATAGTGTGTTTGTATTGTTACAGTGCAATTATTAAATACTAAAATTAATTGCATGATGGCTAAAACTAACATCCTGAAATACTAAAACTTACGTAGTAATATACTACAACATTTCTGATGTTTTATTAAGCTAGCATATCAAAATTAATATTTTTCTAAACCTAACGTTTTTTTTAGCATAAGCTTTTACATAAACAATAACAAGTGTAGCAATCACACAACTTTTGTCATATGTCATCTTAATGAAAATGATGAGTTTAACTTGAGTATTATTATTTGATGATCATATAAAGATAATGATTTTTTGACATTATTTTTCAAAATTATGTCCTAGACTTGATTAATGTTTTTATTTTTGTCATCGACTTATGCAATTATGAACTATTAATGTATGTAGTAATGAGATTTGCTACTTGAATATGTGTATACTTTTATTTCTTTTTTACTATATATGTTATTTTATGAAATATATCATTTAGATGTTCAAAATAATACCCATATTTTTCATCCGAATTTTTGTAGTAGATAACGTATTATACACGTATACATATTTACATGTTTTTTAAAAGTCAACGTTTTTTTCAACGAATTTTTGACCGTCTTTTTCATGCATGTTACCGAATAAAACGCGTACGTATTAAAACTCGTTTAATTCCCGTACCGTATTTAACTAACTAGGATCAAAGTCACTCATACATGATGAGGGTTGATCTCCTTAGATTGTGTTTGGGAGTTGGGTTTTGGAGAGGAGGGGAAGGTTGATGGGGGTTTATGACCCCTGCTTTTCATGTTTGGAGGTTTAAATAATTGGAGGAGATGGGTTGGGAGGGCTTTTGTAACCCTTCAAAAGTCTCTAAATACTCAATTTTTAAGTTCCCCCAATTTGGATGATTTTGGAGGGTAATTAACAATAATTTAAGCTCAAATAAAAATGAATATTAGTTCAATTATTTGAATCCGTCATATATATTTCAAAGTGATTGTAATTATAATTCCTTTAAAAAAACCTCCTTCCAATTTAATTATTCCCAAATATGAAGAAGGGTTTCATCACCTTCCCCTCTATTTCCCCTCCAACAACATGACTTCAAAGTCTTTCCCTCCTCTTCCTTCCAAACTCCTAAACATACCCTTAGACTCTGAAGCTTCTTCAGGATCCGTTTGGATGGAGGGTTTTGATAGGGTTGGCTTTGGAGGACTTATGATAGTTTATATGATATATACTAGGTATTTGAAGATGAGAATAATACGTAGTATGTAATGTAAACATTTCAGGTACTCTTTTTTAGAAATATTCTATTTCTAAAGATGTGGACATCACGTTTCCGTCTTAAAGCTTTGTAGTTCTAAAAGCTTTCCCCTCCAAACCCTAACTCCAAAACATAGCATCACAATATGTCAATATGGCATCATGTTTCCCTCTTGTACACTTTTCTTGCTATAGAATTTCTGTGAGAAATCATGCATACAACATGATAGATAATACTGTATGGCATGAAAGGGTTAAATGTATTTACTGTATATCTTGCTCTCTGAATGATTATATGGCATCAAGGATGAAATCCTGAAATGTATTTACTTTATTTATAATACCCCAGTAACGCTCAAGGCTATTTTCCGATTAGAGGGAGGGCCAAAGACTCAAAACCCTCAACTTGGTGTCAAAACATGCAATGATGCTTACTTAATTTGCACATAATTATAACAGGTTTCATATTTCAGAGTCAATCATCATTCATATTTTGAGACATCATAAAAGATACCTGGTGCTAATTGAGTGGGTTGGAGCTCGAGTTCGGCTTAGATCGAATTGAGCTTGATAAAGAAGATTGCGTTCAAGATGAGTTTCAGTCAGAGCCGTCCAATGAATTTGGAGGCCAGGGATGGATTTAGGGGGGGGGGGCGACCGCCCCCCTTGGACTTTGAAAAATTTCTACCATATATATATAATATTTTCATAAAACTTTCATAATTTAATTAGATTCGCCCCCCTTAGCTTTTAATTTTCAAAATTAATATATAATCTTACATAATGTAATACTTAATTGGATATTTAAAAGAAAGAACATCTAATATAATTTACATAACTCGTTGTTTAAGATTTAGGATACTTATTATATAAGAATTCCTAGTTTTGTAATGTGTAATTATCTTTATTAGATAACAAGTACTCAATTTTGTAAAATATATATCAAACAATATTAAATACCAGACACACTAATTACACAGTTTTTAGATCACGTGAAATGAATCCAAAATATAAATATTTATTGACATTAAATTACATGATTCATTTACTTCTTGCTTTCTAAAAATAATTTATTGCATAGATAATAAAATTTAAATTATTATAGCATTAATACAAATATTAAAATATAATATGCACCATATAGTGTGTGTATGTGGTGCATATTATTCTAAAAATAATAATCTCATGCATACTACTATTGTAATATTAAGAAAACTTCTCATGAGTCATGACTCACGAACACCCTCCTTGATGGACAAAAATTACAATTCAATAACCGATTCATAAGATTAAACAATATAGAAGTTATTAAAAATGTATTGGTTGAAGTCTTTGTCATTGTCTGAATTTAGAATGTAATAGATTTATATGTCATTGGGGGATATATATGTATTAATGTCATTTTTTTAATAAAAATAACCGCATAGTCCTACAGTAGTGAAAAATTTTGCCCCGCTACACTAGGGGAAAAATTTTTGTCCCACTACACTAACGAAAAAAAATTTCACCCCCTACACTAACGAAAAATTTCGCCCCCCTTGACCCAAAATCCTGGATCCGTCCCTGTTGGAGGCCCCGTTCCAAATGTAAAGTCGAGGCCCTATATTAATATTAAGAATTAGAAAGAAACTCAAATGAAATACTTTTACTGAAATCAATTGAATATTCATCAAAAAATGTAATCAAAAAAACTAAAAATCACTTTATAGTTGATTTAAATCTACACAACTCATCACTCAATCAATTTGAATAAAACATGAGTAAGACTGTAAGAGTGCCCACAAAAAACGTTATTTTATTGATTAATACCCCCTCCGTTCTATTTTGGTTGTCCTACTTTCCTTTTTAGGTTGTCCCAAAATGAATGTCTTGTTTCCTTTTTTGGCAATAAATATGTGGTCTTTATCATTTTACTTTATTCTACTCAAATCTCAACCACAACTTTTACTTTTCAACCACTTTATTAATAATCGTGCCAAATTGAAAGTGGACAACCATTATGGGACGGAGGTAGTATTTATTTATATTATTACTATGTAATACTAATAAACTTTTAGAAAATTGGGGCCCCAGAAATCGGGAGGCCCTGTTCTGTAGAACATGCTAAACGCCGGCTCTGGTTTCAGTCAAGTTGAAAAATTTATGTCTTGGTTCGAGTTGAGTTCAAGTTCCAGTTGTATTCGAGTTTTATTTTTTTCTAAAAATGATACTCCCTCCGTCCTGAAAGCAACCTCCCGGTTTGACTTTCACACACTTTTAGAAAATAAGTTTGACTTTACTGTATAGTGCACTGTTTTACACTGTTTAACCACTGTTTGGCACTGTTTAAACACTATTTGGCACTGTTTAAACACTGTTTGGCATTGTTTAAACATTGTTTGGCACTGTTTATCACTTTTTTGATGTTGATAATTTGCCAAATAAGAAAAGTATTGAAGTGTGAAGTTAATTTTGGGACATCCATTTAAGGAAAGTGGGAAGTTGTTTTTGGGACGGAGGGAATATATTTTTAAACAAATATTTTGATTTGTTATACGCCTAAACACTAATGTGCATCATAATAATTTTTTAAACATGAATATGTTATAAAAATCTTCGCTTGTTGTCTACGGAGTATTAGATATTACAACTCCCTTTGTCGTCTATAATTTATTTAAACTTAAGATGACCTAAGTTAATTAGTCCTACTAAAATTTGCTTGAGTGTTGTCTGAGAATAAATATAATTTGCATAACTGATCGGGCTAAACTTGCAAGTATACAAGTGCCGATATGGTAATAAAATACTGGTAAATACCGGGTCGATCCACAGAGAAATGGTTGATACTATAAAATGAGTATTGAATGCAAAAGAATATAAATGATATAATTTTTCAGGAACTTTGTTTTTTGAGATTGATTTAAACAAGAATGAGAATTACTAAGGCAATCGAGATTTACCTAAATGCTTTAATAGTTATTTAATAATAGTTCTTCCCCAATAATCATGAATACGAGGTCGCTAATATATTCTCAACTCCGGTTAAGGCAGCGAGAGCGTGGTTTTCGTTACGTGTAAGTCCCGTTACAGCTTACATTTATCTACCGGAAACCCCGTTAAATATCAAGACATCACACCAATATCATATAAGACCGGATATATTTCTATTCTCGGTACTATATATGTTTATCCTTTAATGTTCATAGTTTAGACTTCAACGTTAATTGCAAGCATAAACTAAATTTAACATACTTCTATGTTGTACACTGATAAGTCCGTATTTAGACACGCATTTGATGCGTGTTGGGATCGGCTTTTGATGGTTTTCCTAGCTTTAAGGTGTTACAAGTCTCAATTTTAGCTCAAGTTATGTTTAACAGGCGTTGGTTCGAGTTTTGTGTCATTTGGAGTCAAAATCAGGATTTTAGAGTTCAACATCGGCACTTGAGGAGCAATCGGGATGATTCGAGATGCATTTGAGTGTTGATTTGAGAGCTATGGAGGTCACCGGTAGGTTTACGATGAAGATTTAATGACAAAAGAGCTCTAGGATTGGCTATGGGATCAAAAAGAAGATGAATGAAGCTTGAAAACGACATTCAGGATGATCTTTGG